CACCGGACGTTCTCTATTCCTCCTCTTCAGATGCGATTGCTCCGCTTGCTGCAATTTCTCCTCTTTCTCATCAACCCGTCTCTGTTTCTTCCTCTTACCAGAAGCAGCATCTTCATCGTCGCCATTGCTGTCATCTTCCTCTTCGTCTTTAACACGCCTGCTGTTTCTAGCACTAAGGACATGCCTGACGTTGAGCAGAAGCTTTGCCCGTGTCAACCTCGCAAAATTAGCGTACCTGGAACGAAGATCATTGACGATATCCTCCGGCGTAGTTAAATCCTTCCCGCACGAATCCATAACTTGAATCAGAAATCTCCGATTAATTCCTCCGCCCATACCACCGCCTCCGCCGCCGCGACCTTTCCTCACCATCGTTATTAGTGCTTAGAGAGGGTTTCAATGGTGAAACGTCTGAAATTTCTTCGCTTATTTATACCAAATGTTAGATTTTGGAGACGCCCAGAAGCAAAGGAGAGAGCTGCGGAATAGCTTGGCTCTGTAAAACCCTAATTTGCGAGTGAAGAGACACGAAAGACGAAAAATGTGTAATTCAACTTCCAGTGGTTAATTGGATTAAATCATTTATTTGGGGCAATAATGGTATATTTTGAGAATATAGGGTGATAATGGTAAATACCGAAACATATTTATAACAGTTGGACCCTGAGACAAACAAAACAGAGTAACCACACAACAGAGTAGTACAGAACAATAGCACAAATGTCTTTTCGAATTACACTCAAGTGAAGATTCCGATATTGAAATTATTTTTTTCCCGGAAAAGTTTAAGTAACTTTCCGGGAATTTGAGAGAAAACTCATCGCCTGAGAATTTGCTGAAGTAAAATTATCACAGAGATATGACTTCAGCTTGAGGAGACTTCAAAGTTTTCTTAGTTATACACATTCCTGCCTTTGCCTTCTTCTTCTTCGGCTTTTCTCTATGTTTCTCTGAGAAAACGCCATTTTAGAGATTCTGCATTTAGCAGCAAGAATCCAATCACATCCATCCAATCCATTTCAACAAGCTCTCTTGAGAAGCCAACTGCAAACCCCATGAAAAACGAAATTTAGGATCCAAGTTCCAATCTTTCAATGATTCTAAGAAAAGTAAGAATGTTTTTTTTTTTCTATTTGGATCTTACAGTGAGGAGGTCAGGAGGAGTCCCCAAATCTGCATTCTCGAGATCTGAAATCGAAAAACCATCTAGTTCCCCAATGGTTCCGATGCTAGGATTGGGGAGGAGAACCTGGTTTTCCCAAACAGAAGAAGCTTCAATGCTTTCATTGCATGTTAAGTTATCTTCATTAAGGTTTACAACATAATCATCTTCCATTCGAGCTTTTTTAGACCACATCTTCTCTAAAACAGCTTCTGGAATGTTGTCCAGTCCCTGGTTTACGAGTTAAAAACACCGATTTTAGTCTCTTGAAAACAAAGGTATGCTTCCCAATGACTTTGTGGTTAACTAACAAATACTAACCTCGCCAAATGGATCAAAAGTTTCTGCATCTCCAGCAAGACCATCTAGAGGTCTAGGTGGTTGAGGAGTATTCGTCTTCGGTGTTCTTGGCGCACCACGAACCCCGGAACTCTCACCTTCATCAGGAAGTTCCCCAACCTTCTGCTGCTGATATGTTATCTTTGAAACAACATAGTCTCCTATCTCTTCTCCTTCTGTTCCTAGATGGTACTGATGCAGGACCCAGTTTGATTTCTCGGGCTTTGATCCTTTCCTAGCGCTCTTGTAGAGCACCATGATCTTCTTGCAACCCCGTTGGACTCCATTGAGCAACACAGATTTTGTTCTGCCAGTCTTGTGCCAGCGAACTGGTTCCTCGTCCAGGCATGTCGGTGTGATCTTTCTGCGTTTCCTTTGGCCTGTTCCGTATGCTTGAACCGTCTTGTGAAAGAAGAAGACACTTACTCCATCTTTGTTTGCACCTGAGAAAACAAAGCTCAAAGATTCAATTGACAAAACAACAATCAACAGCTTAACTAAAGGCCTTTATTGAGTAAGTTGCAACATCAATAGAGGAATGTTATCATTTACCAGGAAGGTTTTTAGGGTGAGTGTAATTGATTCCAACATCTTCAGTGACTGGACGAATAAACTCTTCGATAAGTACATGCGGTTCAGAGCCACCAATCCCACATTTAGCTTCCAGAAACTCGATGATGTCTTCATCAGTTGGCTCAAACTTGACACCTTTAGGAAGGCCAGGCCATGGAACCAGCACCTGAAAACCAACACAACACAAATCAGTGTGTAAGCAACATCGTCTGCTTCAGACAGGACAGGAGAGGGATTGTGCTTCACTCACATTGCTATTGTCAATTCGGTAAGAGCAATTGGGGCAATCGATATACGCACCACAGTCTTTGATCTGCGAAGCTGAAGAAACAGACGCATTCTTCACTTTGGTTGCGATTCCTCTGCCATCAACAATCCAAGCCCTGTATAATTTTGTTGACAAGAACAAAGTATAAATCATCCGTTTATTAACAGCTACAGCTCAAAGGAATGAAATCATTAATCATCTCAAGACAAGAAAACAACTCGGTCGTCTTCTTCAAAGTTACAGACATAAGAGATTCAAGCATATATTGTCAATGCCCAAAATCAGGCGAAGAATATCTAAAATTTTAAGCTTTCTAGCTCAATCTCGTAAGGGAAATTTCACATTTTTGCATAACCCAGTAAAACAAAATGTCCCTTTTCCGCGACCCACGAACAAAGGAGACAACTTTCACCGGAACCAATCAAACCACGGAACGAAACAAAGGAGTAACGTTGCGAAAATTGATTTAAGGGTTTGGGTGAAAATGAAATCATATAAACGAATCTGGGGTTTAACATAAGGGTTTAAAGCTTTTACCTCGCCATGACTCCCAAAACAAAGAAGGAGAAACCTAAGAGAGAGAGAGAGATGAAGCTTTGAGCTTGTCAACAAGGGTAAGTAAAAGGGAGTGTTGAGTGAACGCGTCAAGACAAAAACAAGACCGAGGAGACTAATGTGAGCGGGAAGAGGCTCGTACGTCTCGAGCCTAAGCTTCGACGAAAGCTTCTCAAGAACACAATTGACGAACCTCAGCTTCGGACAAGACTAGTGTTGACTGACTTTGACTTAGAGTTTGGTTCGGATACGAACCTTAGGTTCTTAACGTTCTGTGCAACACCGAAGCACTTGGGAGCTTCGGGAAACGGGCTTAATGGCTATTTTGTAATTAAGTCATTTATGTAGGGCCACACTACCTTGCTCGCCAAGCCAGAAACACACCC